GCCTTCTGCCAAGACTCAGCCCAAACTGTGGATAAGCAGGACACTGGAGAGTTGATGCCCCACTTTGCCTAGGCACAATGAAGTCAATCTCCCCATATTCCTCCTCCACAGGAAAATCTCTCATCCTCTGGGCCGGGCAGCCAAGAGTGGCTGTCCTGATACCTCTACCCTCATTGCCATAGAGATCACAGGAGCCTGGGATGTCTGTCTAGATAAAGACAATAAACTAGCCTCTGTCATTTTGGTTAATCCTTCTCAGATCTCTGACACTGGTGGCTAAGCTAACTGTAGCTTTGTCAGCTAGACAACTAGGTCTCTTAAAAAAAAAAACAGATTTGCGTTGCTCACAAGCTTCATAATTAAAGAATAAACAGGTTTCAGGTGTAACGTTTTATTAAAGGAACATACGATGCAAATGGCTGTTCTCAATAGTAACTATTCTTATCTCTGGTAAAAATATGTTTACAAAGATAGTAATTAAATTGGTTTATATGTAAAATGTTAATAAACATAATGCAAAAAAATCACAGAAAACTATGAAACTGGCTTGGTATAACTATGTTGAAAGGTAAGTACCATAGGTTTTTCTGGTTATATTTCTCTGTACATTTCCTTAACAGCCAAAGAAATAGGGAAGCTTGATAGGACAATTGGTCTCGAACGTTAATCTTATAGGGTACTGTATGACTTGCAAATTTGACTAAAAGTATATATTGCTACACTGAGATTTCATAGGTTTAGAGTTTTCAGTCATGAGTTCGAGATTTTAGATTTCCTTTTGTTGTCTTCTAAGTACAAAAGACGTTTCTCATCAGGCTAACCCACAGCCATAGCTTTGGCTATGTCTCCAAGATGTAAATCTTTTATGGCTGTTTCAGACACTTGTTGACTGATTTCTCTACAAAATGGGTTCCAGTACAATAAAAATGTCTCCTTCATCCAACTGTGTCAGAGAGCCCGAGCTTGAGCTCACAATAAAGGCTTTTTGCTTTTGTATACAAACTCGGACTCCTGGTGGTCTGTCTCTGGGGGCTCGTGACATGGTATAACAGTATTCTTCATAATGTAGGCAAATTTGAAGCATTTATTGATCTTTGTGTGGTTATTAAAAATACAAGTACATGTCAGTGTTTTGAAAAGGAATAAAGGCAAAATAAACAACTTTTATTCCCCCTCTATCAGGGGAGAAAACACTCTATGGCAAAGAACAAAAAGAGAAAGAGAGGGAACGGAAGAGATCAAGTTAGCTGAAAACATGTAGCTGCTGGTTCTCTGTTGCTTTCCCACTTAGCAGTGGCTGAACTGCTGTCCATTATCAAAATTCTTCATAAGTATCTTTTTGTTTTGTTTTGTTTTTTGAGACAGGGTTTCTCTGTGTAACAGTGCTGGCTGTCCTGAGACTCTTTGTAGACCAAGCTGGTCTTGAACTCACAGAGATCCAGCTTCCTCTGCCTCCTGAGTGCTGATATTAAGCACGTGTGTAGTAAGGAGGACGCTTGTTCGTTTCCTGGCTGCCCAGATTCCCAAAATAATCACACAGAAACTATATTAATTAAATCACTGCTTGGCCAATTACTTAAGCGTATTGCTAGCTAGCTCTTACATCTAGAATTAACCCATCTCCATTATTTTATATTTTACCATGAGGCTCATGGCCTACCGGCAAGGTTTCAATGTGTCTGTCTCTAACTCCACCTCCTTTCTCCCAGTATTCAGTTTAGTTTTTCCCACCTAGTTCTGTTCTAACCTATCAGGCCAAGCCAGCTCTTTTTTAACCAATGGTATTTATAGCATACAGAGGGGAATCCCACATCAGACAAGCACCACCACTGCCTGGTATAAATATATTTTTAATATTTGTATTTTGTCATATCTTTTGATGGAATCATAATTTGACTTCTCCCCTATTACTGGGCACTTAGACTACTGCCAATTTCCTACATAAAGGCATATTCAGCATTACGGTGAGCTTAACAACTCTCATAAATTCCTCTGGACTTCTAAAAGAGGAATTGTTAAGTCAAAGGGGAGGAGCATTGCTGAGGCTTTTTATACATTTGATCAGTGTGCTTTTCAGAAAGGCTGTGCTAATTGCTTGCCTCTCATGGCATCTGAGAAGGTTTGCTCCATGGCATACTATTTGGCGTGAGAATTAAAACTCTTTGAAATCTATAATAATTTGAGAGCTGGAAAAGTATTACCTTGTTACTGCCTCTATTTTCATTTCTTTGATTAATAGAAAGCTCAATTTATTTAATTCTATTCCTATGATAAAGTGCTAACTTCCTATTGCCATTATGAAGTTCCCATAGTAATCAACTTGCAAAGGGTTAATTTTGACTCAGAGCTTTGAAGCATTCAGTCTATGCTCAGTTGGTCTCAGTATATTTGGGACAGTGGCAGGGCAGCACATAGTCGGAGAACATGACAGGGCACTGAGCAACCACAGGGAGGATCCAGAGCCCACAGCTCCCTTTGCTGTCATTCCCTCAATACCCTGAAGACTTCCTACATCTCATGAGCCACACCCTTTTCAAATGCTTCTAGGACGACTAAGGTTTTAGTACACAGGCCTTTGGGAATATCCCAGGCCCACACTATAACAGTCTGTTTAACTTTTTTGACCATTTTTCTGCTAGATTATGTATTTCTATCATGACACAACAAATTTTCACAGTCTGGATTGCTTTAAACAAAATTTCTTATCTTATAGTCGCTAAGGTGTTGGCTCGGCTGGGTGCCTATCTAGAAATTCTGTTTCAAATTTACCTGGATTGTTGACAAAAATCTAGGGTTTTTTGTTTCCTGCTGGTTGTCAGTCTGAAGGCCACTCTTGGTCGTTTCAGGTTTTCCAAATCCCTCAAGACTGCCTAAACTCTTGCTCAACACTATCATCCATCCTTAAATCAGCTATCATCCATCTTTAAATATTTAAAGGTGCATCTTCTTCTGATTTCCCAGCAACAGAAAGCTCTGCACTTGTGATTAGATTAGACCCATCTTGATGACCTTACCATTCCAATTTCACATGTGCCATGTAATATAAAATAGCCTGGCAGTAATGTCTTATGTGCATGGACTCTGAGGATTAGCAAAACTGTTGGAAGGACAGTTTGGAACTACGACTGCCCTAGAGTGTTAGGTGTCGATTTTTATGACTTCTTGTGTGATTTATGATAAATGTTCAGTGCACTAAGCTAACAAAGTATGACAAGCCACATTTCACAGCAACAAAGGCTGCTGTGTGGTACTCAAGAGTTCTGTGTACAGTGCTGTGAACACTGGTGCTGAAACCAATTGTAGTCAAATACTCAAAACATAAAATTTGCCATAGTAACTGAAACTCTCTACTCATTCAACAAAAACTTTCTCTTCCATCCCTTCCCCAACACTAGATAATTACATCCCAGCAGAGGCAGGGATGTGAGTTCGAGGATGTGAGTTCGAGACCAGTGTGGTCTACATAGTCTAGACTAGACAGGGTTACATAGAGAGAGACTCTGTCTCAAAAAAGCATACATATTTAAGCCTCATTAAATCTTTGATAAAGTGGCTATTATTCCTAATCTACAGATAAGGAAAGAGCAGTATAAACTTCCCAGGATATCACAATGACAAAATGATCAAACAAGAATTTAAGGTGAGGTAATGTGGCTTTAAAGAGTCTGCTAGAACCATGGCATTGTGAAAGTATTTATCTTAGAGACAAACAAATCAGACATGGATGTTATTTCTTGTTGCATGATATTTACATACTTCTTGTCAATTTAACCTAATATTTGACTTTTAGTTAAAAGTTAGATTATGCTACCAAGGTAACACATGTCTATTGACCTTTTAAAGAACTAATTTTTGCCAACATATTTGCTTGAAGAAAATGAAACAAAAACTACTTGATATTTTATTTTAAGCAAATAACTTATAAGTTGTGCTATTCTATAATGATGTATAAATACAAATCACAATGTATTATTAAAAATATTTTAAAGGAAAAAAATCAAAAATTTTCTCTATAGTTCCATGAATCAAAGAAAAAAAATAATTAAATACATTTACAACAACATAATCAATCTGTTTAACCTGTTATATTAAAAGGCAAACTATACGTATAGGTCAGCCTCTATTTGTCATTCAGAGTCAGCTGAATTGTTTCAGCTTAAGGGGTGGGCCTCAGAACTCCTTATCTTGTTTTTTGTTTTTGTTTTGTTTCAGCTTAGTAAGCTTTTCATACAGACCAATTTGTCATCAGTCCTGTGGCGTCATTTACTATACATTCAAAATGGGCAAAGTCAACAGGAAGAACAATCATCACGTTTCTCTGGGGCTAAAAGCTCGGCTGGGGTTTGGTTTCTATGATCACCGGGGAGGGGTTTCCAAAAAAACAACGCAGAGAACAGGATCACCTTATTCAATTACTTTCTATTTTACGTTTACTTGATTCACAAAAATAAACAGTGGGTCATGTCATCACCCACAAACGAAGTGCTACCTCTGCTCGAAATACAACAGAAACCCGTGCGTGGGAAGCATCCCCGCGACCCCAGGATGCTCCAGGGATGTGTCATCCCGCCCCTCTCCGCGCCCCGCCCGGCCG